CCAAACACCCTCCTGGACTCTTTTTTCTCTCTGAACTAAACCCTCCCATGCCTCAGTCTGCATCATCCAATCACGGGGTACAAAGAGGATCTTGATGTAAAAATGCTGCAATTTTATTTATACCTTGTTGCAAGATTAATTGTCACCGGTTGATTTTTGTCCATTGTTGATGTCGTTCATACAAGCTCTTGGCCTCAGGCTGGGGAGTTTTATTGTTTGTTTGTCGGTTGTTTTTTTTTCAAAAGCCTTTTTCATTAAATGTAAGCAAATCTTGTCCTAATAGCTCTCAGCCATAATGACTTGATCGTATCTTTTAACGACATTTTTAAAGAATATTGAAATGTTTCCAACAATTTTTTCCCCCTCTTCTGTTCCATGAGTATAATGATTGCTTAATCCATAATAATTTTCGCTGGCCATTTTGTGGCAGGCAGTCGTCCTCCAAAGTTTTTTTTGCCAAATTATGTTGACTATGTCTCTGGTCCTGCGGAAGTAGCTGTGAACACAGTGAACGCAGGTGTGGAATGCCATAGATGTCTGAGTTCTCGCCATTCCTCGAATGAGACATTGGCAGTCAGTTGCAGTCTTGTCCTTGTAAGGCCTTCTTACGATTCATAACTATGTGGGGTTTTTTTGTGAGAGGAAGTTTGTCAGATTGTGTTTTACTGCTCATGTTGTGAACTGGGGAGGACTGATTTCATTTTTCCTTATACTTTTTAAGTGTAGATATGATATTATCTGTTAAAGGTGTACGAACGAAATAGGAAACAGGTTGTAGTTAAAGGAAACAGGTTTTAGTAAAAGGAACCAGGTCTAAGAAAAAGGAAACAGGTTTTAGTAAAAGGAACCAGGTCTAAGAAAAAGGAAACATGTTTTAGTAAAAGGAACCAGGTCTAAGAAAAAGGAAACATGTTGTAGTTAAAGGAAACAGGTTTCAGTAAAAGGAACCTGGTTTTAGAAAAAGGAAACAGGCTTTAGTAAAAGGAACCAGGTCTTAGAAAAAGGAAACATGTTTTAGTAAAAGGGACCAGGTCTAAGAAAAAGGAAACATGTTGTAGTTAAACAAAAACGAAATTTGAAGGATCCTTTTTCTTCTTCTTCTTGTTGTTGTGAATGCAACAAACCAAAAGATGGGTGAAGATACCCCTTAGCGTCTCCCCATTCATCGCGGTTTGCAGCCTGGAAAAGAATGGCTCGGATAGCTTGCATAAACGAAATAAATAGTTCTTCTTCAACAATTTTTTTCATGGTTCCGAACTGTGGGCTCTGGTTTCAATGACGATATTTTTTACGTGCTGTACTACGTTTTGCGAATCACATACTCATTGGAAATGTTTTTACTTGATCAAGAACAAGGCTCGGATTTTTGTGTGTGAATGATTTTTCGTCAGCTTGAGCTATGGTTACTCAGAATTTTAAGACGTGCTGTAGTGGTCATGTTATGTTCAGAACGGCAAAGCCCCGTGTGTGTGTGTGTGTGTGTGTGTGTGTGTGTGT